TAAAGAAAAAAATCTTAGGGGATTATAAGTTGATTCAATACCAAATTCTCTAACCAACATCGCAAGAATTACACTGCAGACAGTAAGGAGAATTACTAATGAGATCTTGGGAGTTATAGGGTTAATGTGTGAAATCTCCAACCTAATATCAGAGTGTCTCCTGGATAGGAAAAAAAAATTTCTTCAACCATTAGTTCAGCTTCCTAAATCACCCAAATAGTAGCAAATTTGAATAGTTTTTTTTTCTTCTTAAAGAGAATGGCAGACAATATAAATTTTACAATTATTTAGAAAGAATTATGTTTTCTGTCTGAGCATAGCTGTTGTAATTTTGCTGATGTCCCTCCTAAGGAAATTCAATTTGTGGGCAGAGACTGGGACAAAACAGCTACAAGAACTTTTGGGTAGGGGTGGGTTGGGGGAAATCATCCCATCTTACATCTTCAGATTTGTAGAGTTTGGCAACTCTGACATTACAAATGCCTAAGTATATTCTCTGGTTTAACACTATACAAGATTTAAAGTGTAAGGACTAATTTTTCATTGTATACAAAAAATCTTTCATACCTATACAGTGAATACTTGCTGCCATCTGAACTTGTGACTTCACAAATTAAAGACTCTGGTTGTAAATGCTGGGCACCTTTTTTCCCTTTCCCAGAAACTTTGTTATCCAATCGATTCACCTTGGTGCTCACTTGAAAATTCACTTTCACAATCTGCTTACATTGGAGTAAAGGGTGACTTGGTGCTACAGTAATCACACATATCCTGAAAAAAATGGAGAGCAAAATATTTTGCCATGATTCTGAGGTAAAAACAAGAACCTGCTGTAAATCATAATAATCATTACACTGCCAGAACTCATTCAAGCTCATCTCAATACTGCTAAGGTGATTCCTCAGTATTTCAATGCGCATCCTGTACTGCACACAACAACAAGTAATAAACCCTTTAACTCCCAGAAGTGATTGACATCTAACTTCTCCCTATAATATGCATACATTATCTAGCAATCAAGTAATGGGAATACTGAAACTCATCAGGTAGAAGTTTACGTCTTGATCTAACACCCTATTCTTCTAACTAATTTACTGGGAAATGTGTAGCAGCTAAAGGGGACATCTTGATCTAACACCCTATTCTTCTAACTAATTTACTGGGAAATGTGTAGCAGCTAAAGGGGACATCTTGATCTAACACCCTATTCTTCTAACTAATTTACTGGGAAATGTGTAGCAGCTAAAGGGGAGAATTGACAATCATATCCTGGGAGTTAAAGGTTTAATCTAGTAAAGTATGCAAAATCCAAGAACATACTGTACAGTATTGTTTGTTTGTTTGTTTTTTTTCAATTAACCCTTTAACTCCCAGATCAAATTGTAATTCTCCTTACTGTCAACTATACAATTCTTATAATATTAGTTCAGAGAATTTAGTATTGGATCAACAAATTATCCCCAAATTGATATTTTTCTTTATTCGCATTACTTATCTGGTTGATATTGTATTGATATTGTAAGGAGAAATTCTCTCTTGGTCACTCATGGAAGTTAAAGGGTAAATGGACAAGATAGACAGGTACGAAAGTCTTTTAATCTTGAGCAAACACAGTTACCTGTATTTTTCATTGCTTAATCTTGGTGTAAAATTATTCACTTAATTTTAAGTATTGAAAAAAAAATTGAAAAAATAAAAATCTAAAGGAAAATGATAACACTAAAAGCATGTATAAGGTGCAAATTATGACCTTGAAGGCAATGCTCTGGGTATTCTACCCAACAAGTTTTTTCCAAAACTCTAATGAAACAATGCACGTGATAATTACCTGTAAGTATACAGGTACATATATGGGGTCAGATAATTGTAAAATTTATATTGTCTGCCATTCTCTTTAAGAAGAAAAAAAAAATATTCAAATTTGCTACTTTTGCAATTATTTAGAAAGAATTATGTTTTCTGTCTGAGCATGGCTGTTGTAATTTTGCTGATGTACCTCCAATTAAGCAAGCACAGAGACCTACCTTTTATGTTGTGGTTTTTGAAAAGACAATTTTTAATTCAAAGGAATCACCCTAAGTGAATAAAATTACTCTGCATAGAAACGACATTGAAATTCGAAAGTTAACTGCAGTTTAGGCAAATGCAGAAAAATAAGTCTGTAAAAGATATATGCTCCTCAGATGCATTTTCCTTTGATGGCTTAAACTGCATTTTTTCTGTGAATATCAAGTCGTTCCTTGCTTCTTCCAGCTTCTTACTTGTTTGAATGCTGCAGCACACATTGATCTTCGCAAAATTTCCCCATTATATCTGTGAATTTTAGCAAAAAGAGAATAATCTAAATTTTACCCTAACAAACATCGACAAAAGCAAACTTTAAACTGTAATCATGACAAACCCGTTTTAAAAATACGCGTAAAATATCGATCTACGACTGATTTTCTTTCCAGACGCTCTGCATCTTCTGCATCCGCCATTTTGTTACATTATTGCCAGCCAAGCCTTCTACCTTAGCAGCCAGGTCTAAAACAAGATGGAGTCAGTCCGGAGAGGTAGATCGTCAAACATCCTTGAAAAACCGCTCAGTAAAGGGCGGAATGAGGTATTCAATGGTTGATCTTTAATCGGCTGATTATTTTTTTGTGCTCTTAGAACGATCTATATGTTTTTTTAGATAAATGTCAGCACTTTTGGCTTGCTGTTTTCGGAAATGGTTCAGTATTGCCAAAACAGAGTTCACACTGTACCGGAACTTCAAACCAAGTGAGTAAAAACAGAACCTTAGGAGCGAAAATATCATAATTTGTTTTATTAATCTCATGCGATGGCATTCCTGTTTAGCTAATTGGGAGATTGTGATTTTTAATATGTCATCTACTGGTTTTACGACTGTCTTGTACAGAATGAAAATGTTCTGGAAGTAATTCAATTGATTGACTGATATGTGACAAATAGACTGATGCTCGATCGCTCTGACGGAGGGCTAACGTTCGAAACGTCAGTCTTTAAACTCTTTACGGTGACCAATTTACGTTTTAAACTCAGTTGATAACTCTAAATTAACCTGACGCAGCACCACATTTTCTGCAGAATAATGACCGTTTAACTGACTACTGGTTGACCGAATCACGGAAGTATTTAGATCGTGAGCTGTGCAGACAGAGAGACAAATAAAAAAGACCTTCTATTTAACTTCTGTTAAAATTTATGTTATTTACCATGGGTAGTGGGGTTTCAATCTTGTTTAAGGTCCTCAGTGCATAGTTTTTTTCTGTATGAACACCACAAAAATTCCATACAGTGGTCTGTATAGTGAAAAGCTGGACTTACAAGTGCACAATTAGCCAATCAGATTCAAGGATTTAGGATTCTGGTGCACATAGATACTTCCAAAAAAATAACATGGATTTCTTGGGCAGTTTATTGTTAGTGATTTTGATTCTAATCATTTAAACAGGTTGTCAGAATTAGGCCAACAAGTTGGTTCCAGAGTGCTTGATGTGTTGGTGTTGAGAGAGAAAGGACTGAAAAGGGAAGTGAGAGTACTAAACATTCTCCTTTTCATTAAATCAGTTTTGTGGAAAGTAAGTAAAAAGTATTATTAATTAACCCTTCACCTCCCATTAGTGACTAGGAGATAATTTCTCCTTACAATATCAATACAATATCAAGCATCAAAGTGATGAGAATAAAGTAAAATATCAATTAGGGGATTATTAGCTGATCCAATACCAAATTCTCCAAATTGACATCATAAGAATTGATTGGCAGACAGTAAGGAGAATTACTAATTGAATCTTGGGAGTTAAAGTGGTAATAAAAAAACCACAAGAATGGATGACACACAAGCCAAAAACTGCATCTGACTATCACTCTGTTTCTCGTCCCACTCTCTTCCCACCCTAAGGATAAGTTGCAACATTGCAGGCTCTTTGGCTCAAGTGCACCACTTAACCTTTTAACCCTTCAGCTCCCAAGATTTAATTGTTAATTCTCCCCTCTAACTGTTACACATTTCCTTGTAAATTAGTTAGGAGAATTTGGTGTTAGATCAAGATGACCACTTTTACCTGATAATACTGAATATTCTCATCACCTTTTTGCAAATAATGTATAGATATTATAGGGAGAAGTTACATGTTAATCACCTCTGGGAGTTTAAGGGTTTATCCATAAAGTGTAGATAGAGTGTAGCAGAAAATAAAAATTAGATCACAAGATTATCAGCTGTTATCAACTGAGTTGATAATGGGATGATGTAAGTTCAGAGAATTCGGTATTGGATCAACTAATAATCACCTTATATGGATATATTTTGCTTCACTCTCATTATATGTCTGCTTGATATTGTAAGGAGAAATTCTGCCTTGGTCACACATGGGAGTGAAAGGATTAATATAAAATTATGTCAAGCAGGATCCTGTTTTGGATTTTGATATGGAATTTTGAAAAATGAGACATTGTTTTTTTAATATATTTTTTAGATGTTTTATCTTTCAGAATCTGATTTCATTGTTATTTACTTCTTGTTGTTTTCATATTTTATTTCCTTGTAGTCCTTATTCGGCAAAGAAGCTGATAAGTTGGAGCAAGCTAATGATGATGACAAAACATGTATCCTTCTTTATTGTGAGGCAATTAGAGTGACACCCCTTATTTTGAGTTAAGTTAAAAATAAGGTTAAATGCAATTAAGGTAAAGTTTGAGTCAAGTTAGTGCAAAGGGTATCAAAGTGGAGATCCTGATCACATGTCAGGTACAAATTTGAGAAAAATTCACGCATCTTGCAGTATTTTATGCATCAAGAATTTCAAAGGGAAATTTCAAATCTCACTTAACTTGCAGTTGCCTTTCTGTAAAATTTTTGGCTTATGTCGTAACTTTGGGCATAATCACATGCCTCATGTAAAGCTTTTTCCACCCTCAAAGCAGGAGATTACGAGATTAGTGTGATGTGTGAAGTCCAGGGCCCTTGCCAAGTGCTTTGACTCATTCTGCTTTAGTGCTATTTTGCTTGTTTCTTATCCTTCCTCCATTCCACTTCTGGGTACGTATTCTGTCCATGCACGGGTTTCTTGGTGTCATGTTAATCATTTCCAGGTGTTGCAACAGCAGAGTCAGGGGGAGGGGAGGGTTCAAGGAGGTGTGAACAATGCCCCATCAGATGTGTGGACTTGTTTACAACTTTTGTGAGGCCAAACTTCTGGCAGCAACATGATTGCACATGACTGCTAAACAGGCTTATGTCTTTTCTTTTGAAACACCCACTGGTTATTGAGAAGCAAAGCAAACTGAACTCCATGGTCCACTAGTTCAAAGAGAGAATCGTGCTATCCAACAGATAATTTGCTATCCAGGGAATAAGTTTTAATATTTAACATAAGTACTGCATTATCCACTGGTTAGAGATTTATCCAGTGTTTGATGTTACATACCCTTCACACAGCTAGGTGCAGGTCTTGTCCTAGTAAAAGGGTATCTCCATGTGAAGTAGTCACGGGAACTTAATCTGCTACATTAAATTGAAATTCTGAATCTGAATTCCCAGAACAATTCACAGTTGATCATCCTTCTAGAAATAAAGGCCTTGTTAAGAAATGTTAAAATGATTATTACTGTTAGTAGCAAATACATTTAATAGCGAATGGCTGACAGCATGTTTCCCTTAAGTGACTAGAGTTCGATCTGCATCAAAAAAGTTTGCAAGACCTTAACAGTCCTTTCAGATTATATAATTGAAAAAGAACCTCTTGTCAATAAGTTTATCTCAGTTCCAAAGGACAAAGGTACAGTGTAGAATTTTAGAACCTGTGGAACCTTTAGCTCCCAAGATCTGATAGTCAATTCTCTCCTTCAGCTTTTACATATTTCCTTTTAAATTGGTTACAAGAATTTGGTGTTAGATCAAGACAACAACTTCTACTTGATATGTTTGAATATTCTCATTACCTGTTTGCTGGACAATGTATAGATATTGCAGTGAGAGGTTAATTGTTAATCATTTATGGGAGTTAACCCTTTAAATCTCATGAGTGATCAAAGCAGAATTTCTCCTTATGATATCAAGATTATATAAGACAGATAAGAGATGAGAAAAAAGAAAAATATCAATTTGGGGATTTTTAGTGGATCCAATACTACATTCTCCAAACAAACTGTATGGTAGACAGAAAGGAGAATTGCTAATGAGATCTTGGGAGTTAAAGGTTAAAGTGAGCTATAAAAGAACTAGAAATTATTTTCATTAGACATGAACAGATGAAAGAAAGACGTGATTAGTGTGAGTTGGTGTTGGTGCAATCCCACATCTATGCAAAATTTGAAATGTTTTAAATTCAGGATTTAAATGTTATGAGAGGTTCTGAGGTATAAATCCTTAAAACTCTATATTATTTTTATTCCCCCAAGCTTCATGGTGAGTTCTATTGTATAAAGCTTAATTTTAAATATCTAAACTGGGTTATAATCATTGTGATTTAAGTTTCCTATTGGCAGACAAGAAATTTACCCAGTTAATAATGGTTGTAGGACTGAGTGGTCTGTAATCACATGTTGAGTTATAAACAAATCAGACTCACACTTTGCAATCATCCAATTTTGTTAATCACTCATATGAATAAAGACAGAATTGGAAGACACAACAACAACAACAACAACAACAGCATTTATTTAAACACGATAAAAAAATTCAGCAAAAGCTGATGTGGTCGTGTACGGACAATAAAACTAAATTCCTAACTAAATCCAATAAAACTAAATTCCTAACTAATTATAAGAAGACTAATGTAAGATTTCCTGTAAGTCCTGTTACCAATTAATCATAGCCATTACAATTTCCAAAAAAGATACATCTAGTGGAGACAATGTCTTGAGTTACAAATTACTCCATTTTGGAAATTCCCAGTTTTTCTCATGATGAGTGGTTGTTGTTATGGTTATCATGATCAATTCTGTGATTGGTAGATTTACCTGAGTGTACTAGGTACAATTGGCTGCATCAGATGTCAGATTACAGGTGTATGATTACCAGTGTTTGATTACAGCCAACTGTGCGATTACAACTCTACAAAATAATTAGTAAAAAACAAAGCAGCTAGTGCACCAATCACATTTGAGGAAATTGTAATAGTTATGATTATGTTTGTGACTGGGAAGAAATCTCTTAACCCTTAACTCTCAGAAGTGATCAACAAGTAACTTCTCCCTATAATACTGAAACTGATCAAGTAGAAGTTGTTTTCCTGATATAACACCAAATTCTCATAACTAATTTACAAGGAAATGTGTAACAGCTAAAGGGGAGAATTAACAATCAGATCTTGGGAGTTAGAGGGTTATCAGGCATTGAATACTGTGCAGTTAATTGATGGCTTAAACAGATTCTGGCCAGCTTGGAGCTGCCTCCTGGTTTTTATACTTTTTTTCATTTCATACTTTTTCACAGGAAGCTTGAACTGTGCATCTTTCATTGCTGGCATTG